ATATCTTTGCGGATGCTTCAGAACAAGCCTACGGGGCCGTGTCATACCTGAGGACTGTGAGTACGCAAGGACAGATTAACACGTCCTTCATTCTTGCAAGATCAAGGGTGGCACCCAAACGTGTGCGGTCAATCCCACGTCTGGAGCTGTGTGCAGCAGTAATAGCAGCCCAATTGGCCTCCGTCCTGAAAAGAGAGCTTACACTGAAAATAAGTCAAACCGTCCTTTGGTCAGATTCGACCACTGTACTTACCTGGTTACACTCTGAATCCTGCCGCTACAAAGTCTTCGTGGGGACCAGGATAGCAGAGATCCAGGAGCTGACGGAAGACTGCATCTGGCATTATGTAGATTCAGTAAACAACCCTGCAGATGACCTAACCCGTGGCAAGACCCTGAAACAGCTTGCTGAACCTAACCGATGGTCCTCAGGGCGCCCCTTTCTCAAGGGGAGTCCCTCTTCATGGCCAGAAAATCTCACTCAGGGGATTTCGGAGGACATCACAGAATTACGGAAGTCAGCATTCTGTGGGGTCACTGCAGCATCCGATGAACCGTCCGGCATAGATGGCAAGAAATGTAGCTCCTGGCAGGAGCTCCTGGACACTGCCGTACAGGACATGCATCCTGAGTCCAACATTGGTACCCAGCCTACAGCCGAACATTACCGGCAAGCGGAAATCCGTATGCTACAGCAAGCTCAACAGAAGTCCTTCCCTGCGGACTACGAACTCCTTGTAGCAGGGAAACCGGTGAGCTCCCGAAGCCGCCTGCTTACTTTAGCTCCAGAAATCAATCAGGCCACCGGACTTATTAGGGTGGGCGGTAGGGTTCGGCGTTCTACTGAACTGGAAGAATCAGCAGTGCATCCAGTAGTCTTAGATGCCACGCACCCGACTACACAAGTGCTTATTCAGGACTATGACAATCGATTAAAACATCCTGATCCTGAAAAGGGTTTATGCTGAAATGCGACGCTCTTACTGGATACTCCGTGGCCGTGAAGCTATTCGTCGATATCAGCGTACCTGTGCTGATTGCCAGTGATGGAGAGCCCAGCCCACAATTCCTAGGATGGCTGATCTACCTGCTGCTCGTCTTCGCCTCCATAAGCCTGCTTTTCATTCTACAGGCATGGGCTGCTTTGGTCCGCTGTCGATTAAGGTTGGGAGGAGCACGCAGAAGAGATGGGGAGTCATTTTCAAGTGTCTAACTACACGTGCTGTACATCTGGACCTTCTCACAAGTATGGATGCGGACTCCTTTCTGATGGCCCTTAGGAGGTTCATTGCTCGGCGAGGAACACCAGCGGAGCTGTGGTCCAATCAAGGGACCAATTTCCAAGGTGGGGAGAGGGAGCTAAAGGAGACCTTTGCAAACCTTGCACCAAAACTGCAGCAACAGCTTGCTCGGCAACAGATCTGCTTCCACTTCAACCCCTCGGCAGCCCCACACTTCGGCGGAGTGTGGGAAAGAGAAGTACGCTCTGTCAAATCGGCGCTCAACACCACTGTCAGGGCCCAGCCAGTTCCTGAAGAAGTTCTCCAGACTGTTCTCCTGGAGGTGGAGGCCATCCTCAATTCCAAGCCTCTGGGCTACGTCTCAGCAGATATTGCTGACATCGACCCAGTGACACCTAGCAGCCTGCTGATGGGGCGGCCGGATGTAACACTGCCGCAAGTTGTGTACCCTGGCACTGAGCTTATGAGTCGCAGACGCTGGAGACATTCCCAGGGACATTCCCATCTTCCAGGGTTGCAGACTCGTCAAAAGTGGCACTCAGCTCAGGCTAACCTCAGAGAGGGAGCGGTTGTGATGATGCTAGATCCACAGTTGCCTCGGGCCTTGTGGCCCATCGGGCAGGTAATCAAGGTCCATTGCAGTGAGGATGGACAGGTCAGGTCAGCGGATGTGGACATTGATGGACGCACTTACACCAGACCGCTGGTATTGCTGCCGGCCATACCTAATGGTGAGGATCATACTAATACGCCAGGATGTAGGTCGGACTGAGTCACCTTTTCCTGGTAGCGCATGTGCTCTGCACATTCGGGGGCGGCTGTGTAAAAGGCTGCCTGCGGGAGGACTCCACTCGCAATTAGACCGGGTTCCTTTAAGGGCTGTGCCTCGGCTGGTCATGTGTTAGTTTAGCCAGTCACAAGTTAGAGGGAGCAGCCATATTTTTCCTCAGTTTTTTAGTGCGGGTTCTGTAAGTGCACACTGTTCATTATCACCACGTGCCCAGATAGTA